TATCAGAAAAATTTGGTTCGGATCCGAATACCGTATTTACTCGATTGATTCCCCACCCTAGCATAATTCACCACCACCTATTAATTCCTCATGACAGGGATGCGTTGAAAAAATAACTCCCTACCCTCGGATACTCTACTACAAATTCAAATTTCAAAACTCGAATAATTCCCCTCCCTTGATTAATTCCCCATGCCACGGATGGATTTAAAAAATAATTCCCCAGGGGAATTAATTGATAAATACGGTATTCGGTGATTTCCTAAGATCCAGAACTCTAGCATACTTAACGGATTGTATCAGAGATAATTAAGTCTAGCATTTGAGAATATGCTCAGGTTTGCAAAATTTAGATAGATATAATTATTAATTTAAGGTAATTCATTACCTAAAGAAATACCACCCTCATTTATCAAATATATTCTTTACCGAAGAAAAGAAGATAGAAACTGGTAAAGACTTGCCAGAATCACCAAAAAAGAAATATTTGCAGAAACGTTTGGAAGAAAAATGGGAAAATTTAATAAACAAAAAAGAAATTAATTTAGCAATATTAAATCGTCAATCATTTATTAAATTTGAAACAAAATTATTTGAATTTTTAAAAGAAATTATTTATATAATGAAAGGAATAATTGATGGAAGACACTTGGGGAAAAATAAAAAAGAAATAATTTTAAAAATTAAAAAACAATTACATTTAAAAAATTTGGGGTTAATTAATGAAGAATGGAGAGACAAAATTGAAGGAGATAAAAAGAAAGAAATTTTTAAAATTTTATTTTTTGAGGGGGAGGAAGGAAATGTTAATGATATTGTTAAATTAAATGAAGATTTTGAATTATGGGAAAAATATAAAAAACAAAGAGATTTGGGTATAGTAAATTATTTTTTAGAGAAAAATTTTTAAATAAAATTATGTATAATACATACAACAATAAACGTCTAGCCTCGAACCGGCATAAATCGTCCGACCTCCTGGGCCCTATTTTAATTGATAACAAATTCTATGGGCTAATTCTATGCACAGAATTCAGAATATTTGGTCACTTAAAATTATGCCCTGGTTGTTAAGATAGGTACTTCACTCCCAAAATTATTATCTTATTTTTCAACCCTAATCACCTTAAAAGATAATTTTTCAATTTAAGATACACAGATATATGATGGAATTGGACCTGCAAATTATTTAAATCCAGAATACTTTCAAGAAATTAATTTTGAAACTAAGGATGTTACCTCAACTAAGGTAACATGAAAAGGGTTTTATAATCGGCTGTAGTTGGGCAAGAAATATTGAAATGCTATGTTTTCTCAAGAACCGAATAAAATTTCGGATTATGTTCGGACCGAAAATATCAATAATTAGCCTTTTTTATAAAGGCATCCAAAAATAATAACTCAATACCTATCCTGATAGCTTCCGAACTAAAGTTTAATATAAAATTCAACATAAATAGAGATAAATATTGTAAAGTTAATACGGTTTAAGTGGAATTCTTTAATTTAGAAAAAACTTTTAAAATTTACAAAATCATCTCATCATCTTTCTGTTGGGAGCAGGCCCGCCGACTATAACTTTCTTCAAAATTGTCGAATGGCCTGATATGGTTCGGTTCAGCTTGTATACCAAGGCGCCACGGATTCGACAATTTTGAACAAAGTTATAGCTCGGCGGTACATTGGGCTCGCGGTACATCGGAGTGTACCCCTTTCTGTTATATCTGAAAAATTTCTAATAGTCTATTTCCGTGTCGAGACAAAACTTGGCTAAACAAAACATATACAAAGACACTATACGACCAAAACCATCCAACCAAAATAATATTTACTTAAAATTAAGTTATTTCAACTAATCGAGGGTCATTCACGTGATCATGTAATTGGTGATAAGGCAGTAAAAGTATTGAAAAAACATTATTCAAGATGGTCCCAGACAGTTGGGTGTTTAAGTAAATTATTGATAAGTGGCTCTGTTATGTTGGGAATTAATACAATAAATTCTGATGTTGATGCTGTTGTTATTTTAGAAGAAAATGAAAACGAGAAAATAACAAAATTTAAACAAAATCATTCTGAAGATTTACAAAAATATAAAAACATGCTACAAAGGCCAACTAGTTCAAATTGTGAGGGATTAAAACTTGAAGACGGAAGTTTCGGGATTAACCCATTATTAGCTTCCTTAATTTGTTCAAAAGACGAGAAAATAAATAAAGGGATAAACGATGATAATAAAAATATAGAAATTGATATTAAAGAGAAAAGATTAAATCAAGTATTTGGTACTGAAAATGTAAATTGTCAATTTGGTAAAAGAGAGGAATGTAATGATCAGTCTTTGTTTTGCTTCCTTTGTCGAGTTTGTTTTTTAATTTAGGGCTTGATCCCGTATCATATTTCTTTGTTGTTTTGTTAGTTTGTACTGGAGCTGAGTTGCTGAAAACATAAGTGAACTATGACGATTATAAGAAATAAATGCTCCCTTAAGCCTTGATGGCTGGATGGTCGGCACTCTCAGCTGAAAGAATTAAGTGATCTAGTATTTCATTAGTGCTTATATGCTTATGTGCATTAATTCTAAATAATGGGCACTTTTTAGCCTTCTAATATGTCCGTTTATGATGAAGGGGATGCCCAACTGATTCAGAACAAAGATCTCTAACTAACATAAGAACCGAAGAGCTAAGAGACCTAAGCCCTAACTAAGCCCTAACTAACCTAACCTAAGGTAACCTGGTAACCTGACTAAGAGCCTTATATGATATTTCTCATTTTAAAAAAATTATTTATAATTTGTTTTATTCAAAAATTAGGATAGAAGAGTAACTGACATTAAAAGGATAACAGAAGCATGGATTAAATTGATAGAATTTAAAATATTTGGTGTGGATATAGACATTGCTTTTGTTGGTTTACCTGAATGGCCATTGAAAGTAAATTCTGATGAATGGTTAAATGCCGTTTTGGCTAGTAATAAAAATATTGCTTTAACTAAATTACAACCAATATCTGGATATAGTTCAAATAAATATTTAATTAATTTGCTAAATAACAAGGAAGATAATAATAAAATGCCTATTACATTTTGTAATGCTTTAATTGCTCTTAAGATATGGGCAAAAAGTAAGAGCTTTATTATTATTTTTATCAATCCGAATACTAAAAGTTATAATAATATTTTTTGCAAATTAATTATACAATTTTACGATGCCAGCTGTTTTCTTGGCTGTAAACTTGGGCTTGATTTGCTCGGCTTCCGCCTTCCGCTTTTTAAAATTCAAAATTCTCCAGCCCTGTTGTAGTGATGCTCGGGAGAAGAAAAAACCCGGGAATCGGGAAACGGGAGTCGGGTCGGGAAATGACATCGTGAGTCGGGATCGGGAGTCGGGAATTAGTAATAAAAAAATTTTCCAAAACTTCCAAAAATTTTTGGCGCCTTCAGCGCCGTAACTTCCGATTTTTTGCACCACAGGCAAAAATATTGAGAATTTTGTAAGGTAAACAGCCTTACTAGCGCCGCAGGCGAAAATTTTGAGAATTTTTAGGTAAAGAAGTAAGAGTTCTTCCATTTTTTGCGCCGCAGCCAGAAATTTTGACTCTCATTGGAGTGAAACAGAAAGGGGTTTTGAACGATCTTTAAGGGTAACTTAAGAGTTTATTTCCACGATTATTTGGAAAGATAAGCCAACAGCCTGTCCAAAAAACCTAGTAACCGCAAAGATAATCAGTGTTGGGTATTGCTGGATACTTTTTCTTTGAGCCAGAGTTCAGCTTTGATTTATAGTTGTTGTCATTGACCTTAAGTCCTTGGAATCTCTCCATTGGAGTGAAATAGAGGATAGTAAATCCTCTATTTCCTAGTATAGAAATAGAGGAGTAAATCACCAAAATCTGTAATCACCAAAACCTAGTAAATCACCAAAATCTGCTATACTACAACTCCACAGATTCTTCAATTTTCAGCGCCGCAGGCAAAAATTTTGAGATTTTGTGAAGATCCTTAAGCCAAAAATCTTCCCTTTTCAGCTCCGCAGGCGAAAATTTTGGGTATTTTAGAAGACCAAGAGGCCAGATTTCTTCATTATTTATAAATGAAAATATAATTTTGTCAGAAAAAGTCATTCTTAGGGGTGTAAAAATTTCCCGACTTAGTCGGGAATTGACACCGGGAGTCGGGATCGGGATCGGGAGGCCAAAAACTCGGGAAATTTTCCCGAGTCGGGAGTCGGGATCGGGATACCCGAGCATCACTACCCTGTTGTAGTTTGTTTAATTGTTGGCTCCTTGACTTGGCTGTTTGAAAACCGGATATTTTATAAGACTCACTTGTAACCCAGATGACTCAAAAAATTAAGTTTCGTTCGCAACTGTAGAAAAGAAAAAAAATAGTAAAACGCAACCTTAATCTAATCTTTATCTCAATTAAAAAAACTTTTTCATATCTAAGACTCTCATAATAATAAAATTAAACTATTTTTTTTAATTCAATGCTTGGTATTTTTAGAGTTTATATCTTGAAAAATAATTTTATTAATTTAAAGATAATTCAATATATGGAAACATAAATGGATTTTTAAATGGGGCAGCATTGACTTTATTCTTAGCAAAAGTTTTTCTTTTTTACCCAAATGCATCAACAATTGCATTAATTGAGCGATTCTTTCTCACATATCTGGCATGGTAAATTAAATTTAAATTTTAAATATCCTTCCGGTTAAATACTTAATTCATCTATAATTAGAGTGCGTCCGTTAATTTTGACCTTACACAGTTTTAACAGCTGCTTGGATTTTTTCGTCCTTACTCTGACTCGAACTTGGGATCCTAATACTTAGAATGCGGATTCTGACATCCTAATACTCACTCAGACAGACTCAGTGTGTCTAAAATAATTTATAAAAAATGTTTGAAACTTTATTTATAAAAATGTTCAAAAACTACTTAAAATAAAAATAATTTTAGGAATTGGCCAACACCCGTCCGATTAAAAACTCCAGAAAAAATGAATGACATACACAGTTGGTCAATCGCTAAAGAAATATCTGCAAAGGAAACTAATATAAAGCCTATAAATGATTTATTTGGAAAATTAAGAAACAATGAAACAACGGCTAGACTTTTAAAACATTCAAGATTAATAATGCCAATAATAACCCCAATATATCCAGAACAATCAGCAGCCTTTAACGTTAATTATTCAACACATAAAATAATTATGAAAACATTATTTGAGGGGTTGAAAATGTTAAGGGATGTTAATATTGTTGGGCTTAGAACTGGAGCTATTGAAAAAGCATGGGAAAGGTGGATTAAAGGAATTAAATTTGAAGAAAAGGTGTTTGTTTAAAATAATAAAATATGGACATAAGTAATTAAAATTTAAAATATAAAAAAATCCTTCTATTCGATGGATTATTCCAAGCAATTTTTCGCATACAAGGAGACTCTAAATTAACCGGGCTTATAATTTTTGGCATTACCTTATTTAAGTTAAAGATTATGAGATAAAATAAAGATTATATTGTTGTATTCGCACCTGCTTAAGAAATAAGAATTGTTTCCATAATTCATTTCACAGTCAATGAATTTTTCCATAGCATGAATACCTATATTAGGTATATAGTAGTTCTTCGCTTTTCCGGGGTCCAAGTTCCCAGAACTAATAAAAGACCTATGATTAATAAACCAGGAGAAGATAATAGTTTAGCATCCAGCGTTAAATGTTAGTCCCTTTTAATAAAATACAAAATCTGATAATTGAAAATCTAAAAATATTTTTTCAGTATGAACATTTTATTTTGGCAGTCTGTGCTACAAAAATAGGGAATGAACATTTTTGTGGATATGCTTCAACAAAACTTAAATTACATTTAATTTGGACAATTGAAGAGAAAAATGAATTTAATCAAGTTGAATATTGTCATATTTCTAATTTAATTAAAGAAGAATTTTGCAAAGGAGAAGCAGCAAAATTATTAGGGTGAATTTTATTTTTAGGATATATAATAGTGTAGGACACAACCGGTTATTAGCATGTACCCGGGGTTTCGGTTAATCCAAATTTAAGAAACCCGGTTTTGTGTTTTGATCATATTTCGGTTTTAATTTTAAAAAATCACTTATTTTCATAAATTTCCGGTTCTAGGCTTTTAAAATGTCATAAAAGCTGTTAGTTATTGGAAAAATATCTCAAGAACTCATGTTTTATAAACGGTTGTGTCTATATTATACCATATATCCAATCTGCCGAAATTTCGAGTATTGTTCTAACCGACAATATGTAGAAAATCAGCATAAAAGCTCATTTTTGATTTTACAATTGTCTATAACTAGGGTTCGGATTTTTATTGAAATAAATCTCTTTTTTTTTGCAAACATACTTTGAGACTCAAGTGAACCCAAAAATATTTTTACGAACTCCCCTCCACGAGACCTATTGAACGACACCTCATACACTTCGGTTCTCTGATTTTGAAAAATTTCAGTTCTGAGACTCAAGTGACTAGTTTCTCTAAAATTCTACCAAATGCCTTCCCACTTAAGATGGGTGTGTGTACAGAGTTTCCTATATCATAAAAACACTTTATCGTAAGAATATTTTTTGAGACTCAAATGACACCCAAAAATATTTTTATCAAACTCCCCTCCACGAGTACTATTGAACAACACCTTATACACCCCAGTTCTCTGATTTTGAAAAATTTCATTTTTGAGCCTCAGTGGCACGTTTCGCCCAAAATTCTTCCCCATGCCTCCACCACTTGAGCTGGGTGTGTGTAGAGAACACTTTATAATAAAAATATTTTTTGAGACTCAGGTGCCACCCAAAAATATTCTTATCAAACTCCATTCCGCATGACCTATTGAACGACGCCTCATACACCCGCGGTTCTCTGATTTTAAAAATTTCAGTTCTGACTCAAGTAACATGTTTTCCCAAAATTCTTCTCCATGTCTCCCATCTTAAGTCCGAGTACTCCCCACGTACACTCTATCCCTTATAGCAATTATATTTTCACATATCATAAAAACATATTTGTTTTAAACAAATTATTGATTTACAAAACATTTAAATATAACAGCATTACTGAAATGGAAATTTTTTCTTAATACGCGACTGAATCGCATTATCAAATCTCATCTTCATTGTCTTCTTAATTCCTTGAAATATAGGGCCATGCCCATCCACATCATCAGAAGTATCATCATTTTTAATTTGGAAAACTCTTCGTACAATTCTGTGCGCGAGTTCATGCGCCAGAATAGCAAAAAGTTTGTGGCTATTCTAGCGTGAGCAGCCCTGATGTGTATTGAGTCCGTGATGCCCTTTTTATAGTAGCCACAGGACTTCGGATCATCCCAAATATCCCCTTCTTCAAAAATAAAGCGCAACTTCATATCATTTTCGTAAATTCCATAAGTACTATGATACCTGTCTAAAATTTATTACTTTAGACACACCCAACTTAAGTGGGAAGGCATTTGGTAGAATTTTGGTGAAACAAGTCACTTGAGTCTCAGAACTGAAACCAATATATGCTATTAGTTTTTCGACTACTTATAAAATTATCAGAAAATAAATCATGAATATTTATAAATACCTAAATATTTTATAACTTATATTTTACAAACTTACTTTAGTAATGATACTTATTGTGAAATTAGACTTATTGGAATGCAATTATCTGGAGAATTATATAAATCAGAAATGGAAGAAAGATTTGAAGTCTTAAGTAAAAATATCATTTATGGTTATAGATTACCTAAATTTATGAAAGATAAAAGTGGAATTTCTTTTAAATTATTTTATTCCTCAAAGACTGAATTGAAAAATTGGTTTGTCTTTAAAAGTGTAAATTCAGGATTAGAATAATCAAAGGGGAGACTGGACTTGAGTTCCGATTATGTTAAATCACGATACAGACCTGATAATTGCGATTCACTTAGGCTGATCTAGTGCCTTTACATAATAACAAAATTTATATTTGATTATTAAATTGGGAAATTATTTTAAAAATATCATAAACATCTTTTGCAAGCTTGATAATGGATACGGATATGGATACAGATAAGTTCAAAATGCCTGCGGATATCCGTCTGTATCTGCCGTAAATATCCTGATATAATACTATACGGATACCATATATATAACATATCTATATATAGCATACAGATAAAATACTATACGGAAACCATGTCCATTACCAAGTCTTGCTTTTTGAGCATTTGTATCAGTTCAACATAAATGTCTAGCAATAAATAATAGGAATGCTTAGATCTCTTTTATTTACTAAAACTTAAATATTTGTCAATTTTTATATAATTTTAAACAATTAACAGGAATTTGATTGAAAGCTGAGATTTAACACAATTTTGTAAAAAAATATCAGAAGAATTCTACTTTTTAGATTTTATTATTTTGCTATTAATTGATATTTTTCTTCTCAAAATATTTTAAATAAAATATTTATTGTACACATTTGTGAAGGATTTTTTTTAATTAAGTTGAATTATTAGAATAAATTAGCTACGATTTAATATACCGTATTTATTCTAATTGAATGACCGCCATTCTATTTTTCAATACCCCAAAAATTGTAATTCAATTTGAGGGACCATGTAAATAGAGAGGCCTTTTAATTAGAATAAATAAGGTATTTATAAAAATATTCAGTTTTATTTCTTTCAAAAAGTTTTGGTGGAAATAAGCACAAGGCTTCAACTACTAGCATCGAACTATAGTTTCTAAATGTCAGTTTGTTATATTTAATACGTGATTATTTTAGTTTAAGATTTCTTTATACCATCTAAAAAATAAATAAATGTTCTACAAAATTAAATAATATAAGCTCTGTTATAAAACTAATACAATATAAGGCTAATTGTTAAAGTTTATAGAGAAATTAAAGATATGCATAGAAAAGTTTTAAAGCTACAATTTTCAAGTTAAAATATTTTAGACGCAAAAGAAAAATTTTGAAAATGACAAAAAATGTTTAAAAGTCATTTTGTTTAAACAATCATTAAAAAATAATATTTAAATAAATATGTTGAAGAAATAACTAAGATTAAACTAAGATAAAAATTTAAAATAAATTAATAAAAATTTAAAATAAAAAATAAATAATTTTAAAAATTAAATAATAAATTATCAAATAGAATTATCCAACAAAAATGAATTTTACTGAAATAGATTTTACTCTGAAACTAATTCTTCACAGTTTATGGGGAATTTTAGAACTGTTCACAATAGCGTCTCAATTTTTTATTTTTTATGTATCCTTCCAAAGTTCCAAATTTTTCAAATTGTTTGATTGTCTTGAAGACATATTGTGGGCACAATTTAAGTTGATTTGCAACATCTGCCTCAATTCCATAATATTTGCCTACAGAACAGAACAACTTGATAATCTTGGCCCTCTTCATTCTTTCCTTAATTAGAAATATTAAAAATTTATATTTCTTAATTAAATTACTCTACGCAATGTTTTTGTTAGTTACTCAGAAGTCGATGAGAATAAACTAGACAAAAAATCTGAACTAAGCATAAAATTATAAATTGATATAGTAAAGCGGCTGAGCATCCCAAAAATAACAGAATATTGTACGGAACTTTATCTGATCAGTCGTTTGTTAACACGGTTGCTAACTCCACAAACACACATTATTTTATAACGACCTCTAACTTTTTCGAATAAACCGTTTCGTATTATCATATGGTAATTTACGGCCCTTTTCTTTATTAATTTCTCTCATTTGAAATTACCGAGGGAGGGAGTGAAATTGAGAAAGACAGTAAATCTGACCATTATGCGCTTATTAAGGAACGTTCTAACACTCAAAATAGAGGGAAGGTGTTATATTCATAAAGTCACCATATCTACCTCATCTGTCAAAACTTCCGACTTGAATCCTAAATCTTTTAATTTCTTAATATCATATCCAATGTATTGAAATCCTTCTTCAACTGAAACTTTTATAATTTCAACTTCAATTTTGCCTTCAATAAAATTTTTAATAATTCCGTTTAATTTAATTTTATATTCCTCATCCTTATTTTTCTCGTCAAGATTTTTGTCCGTCGGATTAAGATATTCCCCATGGATATTTATTGAACAATACTGGATTTTGTCTATGATTATGTTAATTTGTTCATCATATTCCAAATTAAAATATCCTAACTTTAGGGATAATTTTTTGTATAATTCCAAAAATATACGAATATTCAACAAAGTCATTAAATCATTTGAATGAATTTCTCTTTTGTTTGATGTTTCTTCTGAAAAATAATTTTTAAAAAATTTAGGAAAGTAGATAGTTAAATAACATCTTAATAGAGAATAGCCA